ACACAGAAGAGTGGACACTGCCGAAGGTCACCGCTCAACGATACAGTAAATGGTTACGCATCTGGACCACAGCTGGACCGCTACAGAACAGTTGGATTAAAGTTGTCCTAAATTATGACAGAGAGCAAAGGGAAGACGAAAACAGACGGACAGAAAAAGAGGGCAGAGAGCAAAGCAGAGTGAACATTAATCTCGTGTCTGTGAGTATTGTACAATCCAGATGTTGGCCTAGTAGAGCCGATTCAATTTGGCAGATACGCTGTGCGCTACATCCTCGCAACAAATCATCACAGGTGGACACAACGCATGTTTGTTCATTCCTATATTTTGAAAATGTGGGACATAATATATGAGCATTATATCATAAAAAAATCATAGAAATGGGAAATTTATCCTTTACATCTTTATAAACGTCTCAGCAGATTGCTCCCATATGCCACTTTTCCCCACAGTAAACACTCATTGTTATCAGCTTCGACGCGTAAATGCCAGCGTAGTTGTCCCTGAACAACCTCACACTTGGCTTCTCTTTGTAGAAACAAAAGGTTCATTTTGGTTTACTGAGCTGCCACCAATGAGAAATGAACCAAAGGACTGGACCTATTCAGGCAAACCCACTTTAAATGATCAAACCACGAGAGCAATTGCTCATTTGATGATAAAAGGTATTAGGAGGGAATGGTCCTGACAAACAAAAATAAAGCTGTTGATGTTTTTTGGTGTGCCGCCAGACTTCACACATGGCCGATATATCAACTATGCATGCAAGCCTAGAAAGTTCTTGGGGTGGGGGAAAGCTTAAAAGTGCACTGTGATCCAAAGAGCAGACCTACAACACAGGCAGCTGCTGCCAGATGCAAAATGTATAGTTAAACTGAAGTGATGCTTACACTGTGACGATCAGCAGCGATTGTTTCCAGATTCGCACTGGGCTTTTATTTGGGTTTATGACAAACTCAGTGGCAGGTTTACTATTAACACTTTCTCCAGGCTGAGCTGTGCATCTGACAGAACAGACTTCAGTGTTTACACAAGAGAACCAAGAATGGATAACCACACATGCTTGTCTTGTTACAGTAGTTTCTTGATCTGCAGGCCGAGGACTACATGTTATGTCAATTTTGCTTCACTGCCGGTCCCACAGGTCATACAGGTGCATTTTGCAAAACGCAAAAGAGACACGTTTGCTTAAAGCAGTGGTTTGAGATCTTTGCAGGACAGTGAGGATCTTAGCACTGCGAGTCATCCCTCTGTAGATAACCTCACTTAAAAAAAAGCAATCAAAGGAAAAAAAAAAGATGCTACTTGACAATACGATGAAATGCATGGCATCACAAAAGCCATAGGTTTTGAGTCACTTCCCTCTACACACATGAACTTTAATTAAATTTAATAATCTGGTGCAACTCTTTGGAGCTATAATAGCTTCAACTCTCTTGCTTTCACAAGTTTGTGAGAACAGCTATAAGGTGGGCTGGATCAGTCTCCCCTATAACTCATCCTAGCAGACAGATTTGTGTGGAGTTTTGTCATCTCTACACAAAACTCATTTATGCATGCCCTTATGGATTTTGCTTTATGGCTTGAATTTTTAGAACAAGCCATTTCTGGTGCAAAGGTTTGCATAAGCAGCATGTATGCCAAGGTGCTTGACTTTATTCCCCTGTGATGATGAAACTGACTGGACTCTACACTGGACAGAATAAAGTAAATGTGGTGAACGCTACGTAGTTAAACCTAGTTTCTATTCCCCAATAAGTAAAAGGCATTTACCTTTGGTTTAAGATTAAATAAAAAAGGGATAAAAAGTTGCAGATTTAAATTTTCTTTCATAACCCCCGCCCCCCTCATCACCCTCCCGTCCGCACTCCACAAATAAAGTGGTTGCTGACTGTGCAGCGTTTCACCTTCTGACACAGTAAAAAGAGACCCCATTATGCATATGAGACGTGTAGGTGGTTAACTTTTTTCACTTGGCCCAGATCTGTCAATCCCATTTCAAAAAGTCCACAGAGTCTTGTTCCCCTAGACAGGAAACACTTTCAAAACAATAATCCCCCCCCCCATCTCCCGTTTCCATGGAAACTCACTATGTTATGTATTATTTCTCTGTCCTTCCTGCCCTTCTCTTCCCGACATCCGCTCGAGCTCTCTGCTTAAGTTACAAACAGGGAATCCAGGATGGCTGTCTCCAAGAGGTCTGGTTGAACCAGTGTTTGGATGACTTGTGAAAACTGCATCACGTTGTCTGCTGCCTCATCGGTGAAACAGACATCGAGAAGCCAGGTGCCCTTGGTTTCAGAAAATAAGTCCATGCATAGGTCATGGAAAAAGAAGACATGAATTAAGTTGACAGGCACTGGGCGATCGACCTACAGGAAATTCCTTTTATCTTTTCAAACTTTATAGCAAGAGGGGATCGTAACCTGCTTGTATGGAAAGCTGTTTCTTTTTTTTAATTTTTTTTCCTCCAATAAAAGCAGATGTTTTCAGTGTTTTCTTGGTTGGGAAAGAAAAATCCAGGAGTTTTATAAATCGGTGGCAAATAATTTTGGCTTTCTTCCGCCTCACTTAGGCATCCGTTTTGCTTTCATCTTAATTTTACCCCAGAAGAAGCCGCGGATCGTTCAGTCCTCTTAACCACGAGGATTGCTGCTGTGATTTGGCTAAATGCTCCCATATGACGAGGAGGCAGGAAAAACTCAAAACAGTCTCTGATTGTTTTATTATATTCTTTTTATTAAAGTCAAAGCAGAATCGATGCAAAAGTATCTCTGCAAAGCCTTGACTTGTATCACACGTGAACTGTTGTTTTACATGTTCAGCGAGGCCAGACGGTCTTCCACTTTATGTAAAAGAAGAAAAAAAAAAATCAACCGAGGCAAATGATGGTATAATTGTTGCAACCTCATTACTACATTTTCTTCAATCTTGACAATAAATATCTTCAGCTACTGTTGTTTAATGGTTTACACGTTCCAAGTGACTACCAGAAGGCATACAATGCAAACCTGTTGTCTGTCTTGTCAGTTAGCTAAAAAGAAAAAATCCACTCTTTTTCAATATTTCCTGAATTTAAATCCACAATGAAGGGACACATCCTACAGACAGACTTTTAGTTTTCTCTGAGAAGTTAGACATGCCACAGGCTGCCCTGCAGGCACACCATTAGACATAATGTTGGGAGGGACAGCATAAAGCAGGAAATCCGAGGCCAAAGGGAAGCGAGAAGGGTGCTACGATGAAATCAGACAAGACCGACAGTGAGAGCATGAGACAGGAAGTGAGCAAACGGACAAACACAGCATGGCCCTGTTCTTGCATGGCAGCTGAAACTCACTTCAGAGCTCTCCATTCTGACAGCTGTGCCCTGATCTCTCTCCACTGCCTGGGCACATGTCGGCACAACGATCCCCATCTGGCACTGGTGCAAACGCTAAGCTTCTGCCAGTAAGTGTGATCTGTGCACGAGACGTGCACTGTGTTCGTCTGAGTTTGATGATGGGGGTTGGGGCATGGCCTCAGCCAACCATCAAGACAACTTCCGCAAGACTCAAGCATTTTAATTCTTGCCTCTAATCCTATTTGTTCAGGATAATGAGCAACACGCAAACTATCGGGCTGCAAGCCAAGAAAGAAAACACTAAGAAGAGTCTTGTTCTGCTTTTAGTGAAAGGCATGCCGCGCTTTATGCTTCTACGCAGGTTAATTTGTTTCGATGATTCAATTCAAAACGTTAAATTCATAATGACATGAAGTCATAACACACAGTTATGTATTTTGGGTGTTTGTTTCTGTTAATTATGATGATTGGGTTGTCTGGATGCTGAGAGATTACACACGGCCGCTACAAGTGTGCCGTAGTATGTAACAGTTATGTAATTTCAATATTATGTACAACAACATTATGGGTAAAGCTGCAGACTTAACAGTTGCCCAGCAAAACATCACTGAAAATGTAGAGCGAAAGAAAAGATTAAAGCTAAGGAAGGTGGCTGTTCATCATAGTACAATATTTAGGTATATTAATGGAAAGTTGAGTGGAAGAACAAAGTTGCACACGCAACCGGATTAACTCCTTAACTTATTTTTTTTTATTAAACTTTTGTTTTACCAGGATAAAAAAAACAAAAAAAACATGAAAATATAAAAACTTGAGATTAAATGTCTGACCTTTAAGAGCCAAGCTCAGAGGATGAAAGAGAGAAACCACCCGCGGAGGGTTAGAAGGGAATTTTTAAAATTATTTTATAAAATAAAAGTGTTTTCAGATGAAAATTAATTTTGCATTTCATTCAGAAAATAAGGTCACAGAATCTGAAGGAGCACCATTCCCAAGTTGCTTCACAAGCAGAGAGACATTTCTACAGTCAGTGGTGATTTGGGGAGCATGTTCATCTGCGGCAGAAGGAGGCTATTAAAGAAACTTGGTCCACAGTGTTTCATCAAGTCCAAAGTCAACACAGCCATCCTCAAACAGGAATTTTTAGAGCAGTTCATGCTTCCTTCTGCGAAAAAGTCTCGTGGAGATGCTCCTTTCATTTTCTCCTTTCAACTAAGATACTTGAATACAATACTCAACCAACAAATATAGTCATGTTCCTTGTCAGTGACTATGTTAAATAGTCTTTATGTGTTAAAAAAATCATTTTATTGGTCCTGTGTGATCTAATTTCATGAGAAATTGATGTTTGAGTTTTCATAATCCTTCAATTTAACTCAAACAAACACTTAAACCACAAAGTTCTGTGTGCAATGAAAGTATATTTAGTTGCTGTTATGAGTAGAGTTTTTGATGTGATGCAAATGAATATTCAACCTAGTAAAATTAGTTCAGAAAAAAAATCCAAACTAAAAGCTGTCAGCTACCAGAATTTTGTATAAACCTGTACATGAACTGCGCAAAAAGAGTTGGTGTAAAATAAAATAAAATGGCATATGTGGTGTCAAACATCAGAAGTCCTTTTCCATCAGAGACAACCGTTTTCATTTTTACTCACCACCAGTTCAGAAAAGCGTGCATGCAGCTCCTCTGCAGGTGGCATGGGGGAGCTGAACTCCAGCAGCTGCAGCGGCACGGTGTCCTTAAGGTTGATCTCCGGTGGCTCGCTGCTTCCAAAGCAGCACAGGAAGCCCAGACCCGCCCGTGTCCTCTTCCTGGGAGGCATAGCGGCTACGGTGGCGAAGCTGGCAGTGGTGGTGCTGAACCAGGAAGGTAAAGGAGGGGGCCAAGGGACAAGGGAGGGGGGAGTGGAAAGGATGACGAGACTGCTATCTGGGGGGCATGATCTGGAAAAGAACGAAGAAAAATGCAGAGGATTAGAGATGCTGACAATCCCAGATGGCCAATGTCATCTGTATTTACTGAATACATTCTTGGTTAATGAAGATTTAAGCTGTTTGGTCTGTGTTTTTTTCTCTGGGGGAATCTTTATTTATTTATTTATTTTGTATTCCAGAGACTGAGAGGCGATCCCCATTTCCAGCAGCCTGATATTGTTTGGAAAAAAGCACGTGAGCAACCTACACCACATCCAAACAAACATCACTAAGCCACCTGCAGAAACTGCGTCAAGGGAAAAAAAAAAATAAAAAGCAAGAAGTGGCTTTTACAAGACAGGGTGGGGATTTTGTTGCTGGCTCACCAAAAAAAAAGGCACTTTGAAATGCAGGAATCGGCACAACATCATCATTTTGACAGTGGTTGCAACTTTACCACAGCAAATGTTTAAGAGGTACAATGTTGGATCTGCAGCAGACTCATGACTCTACTGCATGAGCAAAAATGTGCCACAGTGCTTTGAAAAGAACATTGGTGGTTCCTGCTTAATAAATTCTAGTCTTTTCAGTATAGAAAAGCAAAAATATTGTGACCAATCTCAGCTGAGGAGTTGCCTCGGCTCTTCTTTATGCATCAGTTTACCACATTTGTGAATGAATGAACCACACTTATGTTATGCAAATACCTCAAGCGTGCAAATCCAGTATGAGTACTTGACCGAGAAATCAATTTCGAAGCAGCAGAATGTTAATGGAATCTCAAAGCTTGCACCACATTTAAAATATAAAATGTCTATAAATGTTACGCGCTCTCTCTTAATATTTTTACGTAACCTTTAAGGAACCAAGTACGTCCTGAAACCATGCACCCATGTTTAATGAGGCAATCAAATTTTATAACTTCAGAATCCACAAAGAGCTAACCCACAATACTGTATCCTGACTGAGCATTTCCACCACCATCTCTTGTTCAGTGTAGGGCTTTTTACTGAGCTGTCTAAAATTAGCAGCATGGTAAATTCTTTATGAACGTTCTAGGCCCTCAACAGGGACGTGAGAAGAAAGAGAAAAAGGAAGATAAAACCCCACCACATTTCCATTTTGCCTTTTTACTGCTTGTTTTGACCAACTCTTTCAGTCTCCAATCTGGAGCTGTGAACCCACATTCAGCTTTCATCTTGTTGCCGTTTCTGTGACATGCTTATCATTGTTATGAACCCACTCAAAGACCGAGCTGACAGTAAAAATGCTTCTACCATAAATAAAATGTTTAATTCACTTATAAACATATGCAGTCTATAGAAAACCTGGAAGCAACCATGGCAACTTTATTCTTTAGCTCATAAAAGTGACCAGTTTTAATTCTTGAAAATTACACATAAAATACATACACTTCTGATATAACATATACTATTATATTTTGAACAGTTATAAAAGTAAGAATAATAAAAAATCAGATGATAGTTTAAGAGAGAAAAAAAAACACCTTTTGTAGAACTAGTGGCCTTTATTGACAGACACTAAACAGGAAATTGTCAGAGTGAGAAGTGTGGAAGATGTACACCAAATTCTCAAAATGAGGATTGAAACCGTGGGCTGGTATGTTTAGGAACAAAAGCTTCTGTGAATGTGGTGCCAGTCTTAGATTTACACCACAAGACAAAAGTTTTAGGATATCAGTAGTTATCAGAGACTCCAGTGTCTTCATAGTTTTTTTTTTTTTTTTTTTACAATTTTCCTAAACGGCACCACAGGGAACATGTAATTGATTTAATTAGGAAAATGAATGCAGTTTGGGAAGCGGTACAAAAGCATCAAAATAATAATCGCATCACTCCTAAATAGATTGTTAAAGCAAAGCAGCCTTAATTATGTTAATTAACTAAATGATGTCAGAAAGGCAAGGTGTGTACCCCAACAGGAATAGCAGTTAAATTATGCATTACATAATACGCACGGAGATACACATTTTGGTCAAATAAAAAAAAAAAAAAAAACTGTTAAGTTCAATAACTTTGACTTAACAGCAATGAGCTTTCATAGTGGCAAACAGTTGCTGTAAACAGTCAGTGGAGATCATTAAATCCCTTCAGCATAACACACAGCCTAACCCTCCTCTGGTCTCTCAGTGTCCGTTTTTATCCTCTCCCTCTCTCCCACCAGAACCCACGTGCAGGCAGTCCTCACTCAGCACCAGTCCAATTGGCCTGACTCCAGCTCAGAGGAAGCAGGCCCGGGACTCCAAACACACACACACAGCATACATTATATAGAGTCAGAATTATATACAGTTAGGAATTTAAGAACCGGCTGTTTATGTAACCTTCATCTGCATGCAATGTCACTCCAGATTGACCGTGTCCACTGCCATCTGACCATCTCTGGGCTTCTCATTTCCCCGCCTCTCTGTCGTCTTCCATTATTCCTCTGTTTCAGGCTAAATCAGAGTGACAGTTCCCTGCAACAACCCTCCCACTGATGGTAACATCTGTCATTTTTCCTTGCCACTGCTTACCATCCACTTATTCCATCTTTAATCCTCCTCCTTCTGTTTCCTGTCTGTTACTGAATCCTCAGCTCTGGGCTACTGTGTTTTATTCTGGAAGTGGTTTTGTGCATTTACTGTTATTTTGTGGGACTGATATGCTGATATGTCCTATTTATGGTCATAGTTTGCTGACTTTCATTAAACATATCCACTCTAAAGAGGGAAAAATATTTAGCACACTTTTGCTTTTAAGGACACCAAGTCCATCAATTTGAGGTTTTTATAAGGTACAGACAAAACCAAATGTTAAATGAATCACACAACCAAGTGTTTTCACAAAGTGATCGATTCAGACATCACCTGGTTTTAGTTGTTCCACTGTTTCTATTAACTTCCAGCTTCCCTACAGCTACTATTAAAAAAGGAGTGCCTCAAGGTTGTGCTATGGGATCCATCCTTTACCATTGACGTGCAACTCTCTTGTTAACTAACCTCCAATCACGTAAATGGGTGTCCCTTTTTGTACAACCTATAAATAGACATGTCAAATGTTGGTCCTGCAGAGACCTATCATTGAAGTGCTAAGTAGATTGAGTCGTCATCATTTATTACTACTCCTACAATGGCTGTGCACCTGTTTACAGAGTTTTTTTTTTTTTTTTTTTTTTTTTTAAATGAACGGAAATTTTGTCATCTTATAAAATAAAAAA